GTTTGTACCACATGATAATTAAAACAATTATTGACGATGAATCGTTTAGGGAATTGCCCTACTTATCAGTAATAATCCAATGTTGAAAACGATTCCATCAGCATAAATGCCTTTTAAATGATAAAGTGCATTGTAATGGACGAAACTAAAGTCATGTGAAACTCAACGATCGGAGATACTGTTCTTTTTCTCTTCCCTTAACATAATTCCTTTATATGAACAGTTCCATCGTATAAGTAATTTTTCAACAAACAGGGAGTGACCAGCCGCATGGTTGCCATAAAATACAAAGACGATGGAGAACTTCAGCGATTATTATTAGTTGATAACATTGACCATTTGACCATGGTCCAATGATGTGTATGCGAGCATTCCACCAGTTACCCGATGGCGTACTCGGAAAAGTGTGATGGGAACAAGTTGAACGTTTTTCAGTGGTACTTTAAAAGGCGCTTATAATTTAGGAAATGCAAAGCGTTCGATATAAGTAGGGATTAACAATAGCCAGAACAGTTTGTTGCTCGTGTTTTATTCGTATCAGAAACTGCAATCAGTAATTGTTAAGAATATCTTTGTCGCCTTCGGATTGTGCACTTTGCATGGACTATCAGAGAGAGCGGACAAATCCAATGCAACCGAACTAAAAAGAAACATGAAATTTAGACTAGACAAGATCATAAATCATGTGCCAAATCTTTGTTTGTGGAACCGACCTAATAATCCATGGGCTCATTTTACCCCCATCGGATTTTTCTGCGATAACGTTTAGTGAGAGTTATGGACTGCTGCATGCAGATCAACTAGTACCTCTTCATCGGCGAAGAGAAAGAGCGAAAATTGACTATCACACAAGAAACACAGACGTCCCATGATGACATTGCCCAGTGATTCTTCATCGCATGTAGTGCTGTGATCGTGAGCAGTATCCTCACCGCTTAGTCTCCGTGTGCTCAAAAGCTGTGTCCACAAATGAGAAAACTTTTACCTAGTCTTACATAGATAACAAAATTATCGCTTGTATTCACGCACGTACTCGATTTTGATAAATCATTCAAACAAACAATACGTTAGGCTTATTTCAATTTTTCTTCTGAAATCATAAGTACCTCGAATAATCTTCTGTATAAACCCTATAAGGATTTAAACTCGGTGTTGTGAAACAAACTTCAGCTTGTAGAGTATGGTGAAAATTAAATGATTTATACTGTTTATAATTAACGGCCACTTGAGACAATGCATCACTCCAGAGGCGACAGAAGATCAATTTCTTCCCTCCGAGTACATGTGAAACAGACATGTCGATAACGCACAAGCACGTAGGAAAGATGAATCGTGCTGATTAAAACGGATTACTATCCACATTTTCGTCCAGTTTGTGCGTCACTTTATCAACTCACGTTAATCAGTTGACGATTCGGACGGATCGGGGTGTAGACGGGAAGGGAGGAGGGGAAGAACGCATTGAACTCAACTCCCGGAATCGATAAGCTATTTCGTTAGTTTATGGTGAACTCGAATTTCTTCAATTTCGATGAATAAAAGTCTAACTTTGGCCCTTTTCACGTTGCACTGTGTGCTTCACGTTCATGCGTAGGTGGATGGATAATTATTCTATGAGGGAGGGGAAGTTATCAAATAGATCTGAGCAAGTCGAGCAAAGTTTGATTATCTGAATTCACAGCCGAGACCATCACCTGCACCACTAGAATTCTCCGACACTGCTGGTGTACCCCGGATTCGACACATGAGCCAAATCAGGTCGCGTGTTTCTCGCTCCGAGTGTCACGTTCTGTCTCCAAAAACAACGCTTGGTGATCTTTTGATTTATTGGTTATTCGTGCCTAGTAAAAGAAGTTGAGTGCCTCACCTAATTGGCTCCGTCAATCACCTCAGCATCTCTGACCTACAAGATGTTTATTCGTCCAGTGATATGGACAAGTTATGAGGAAGGGGACAGTCAGAAAACAGAATCCATGGAAGTATAAAACACTCCATTATCTCTCGACCATATGAGTCAAATTGATTAGTCTTTTCACTGGAAGCTATCCCACCACAACCCATCATCCCAGGAATTGAACAAGTCTGTATTCGGTTGATATTCATATCCGAGCTCTGTTTCGGGATAGTTATGTGTGCATTTGTGTGAGACCACCTCCTGGTAGACATGAGTCAGTGTACATTCGATACAATTCCAAAACAGTCTCACTCAGGTGCACGCATCTGACGTTGATGGAATGATGGGAGTAGTCACGTGCCCAAACCATGAGTAGAGAGAGAGAGAGTAGAGACAACTGCTTACTCATCTGTAAGATGAGTGACATGGAATTCGTAACATTTTGTTTATGACTTTTCGATATTCTCATTATCCTTGACACAAAATGTGTCATCCCACCTTCGATTTGCGAGTACTGTAATATCAGTAAAACAATTAAATTTGTATCGACTTGTTGTGTGTCTCGATGGAGGGGTGCAGGTGCGGGAATGGCAAGCAAACTTTCTCTGGTCACGTGTTCCAGTGAAAGCATCCTGGGTGAATTGCATCTGAAGAGTCATCCATTGTGTCGGTTCAACTATGAATTTGCTTGTTATCGGATCAACAAGTGCGATTCTAGGACGGGAAGTCGCTGAAGACCCCCATGAGACATAATAAACATGAGTAACAATAATAAGAGAACTTTCCAAATGATGAGTTCTGCTCATCCCTAACCATGTCAGTTCTGGGTCACATTCAAGCTCTAAGATGTTCCAATTTATACATGCCATTTTTAAAAACGGCATCTTCTAGTAAACCACTCATGAATACACTAGTTTAATGGCAAATCACCGGTGATATAAGCACCATGTTCAGTTTATCCGGTGGTGATAGACTGCTTGAGTTTGTTCAACTTGTTCAGGAAGATAGTATGGAGCTGGCTGATCAGATGAGTTTCAGCTAATCAGAGACCAGACTTCTTCTGGGGACTGATGAGCAGGAACGAATAACTGAAACACAACGTTTGTGCATTCATTATTCACGCTTTGATCCCAGTACTGCCCGCTTACATGTTTACATCTGAGTGGTACGAAGTAAAACCAAGTTCATCATTAACAGGTAGATTCAACTGCTCCACTCACAACGCAGTTTCTCAACTTACACGCCAATGTACGTTTCCAAAACAGCGGGTGGACATGGATGCTCTGTGGTGTATATTCTGTGCGTCTTTTGTTGGGGTCATTGACCCTGTGACATTCACACCCCACTCCATTCATACACACACATCAACATTTGAGGGGTAATAATTTTCAACCATTTGTAACTCCCTAGTTCGCTACATATAGTTGTTTCCGGTTTGCACCTTTCAGCAGTTGGAGTGTGAAACTCATCGATGTATTGTGTAGCACAGCTGGAGGTCTGTAAACCAAAAGAGCTTTCAACGCAGCGGGAGGTAGAACAGGGGATTTCACTTCTGTTAACCATAGCCATCTTGTCCCACTTCATTCCTCTCCCTAGACCACTCACTTCATCACCCACACATTCTCGATTCATGCCAACTCATTTACAATCTGGGGATTTGGGGGGATTTGCAAACGACTTCAAAGTATTAATGCGATTTGAATATTGAGGTCATTAGTATTGAATGTGAGAGATGAAAGTCCATATTTGCGCGCATCTTAGAATGAGAAAAACAGACCTGTCCGTTCGGCAGTACCAGAAAGGGATCTTCACCTTTTCCCGTCGTGATCTTGACGTGTCAAGCAGTGTAGAAACGTGCCATTCAGATCAACAACCTTGAAATTGTGGTTAAACAAAGAACAACCAACGCTCATATAAGCTAGCAATGAGTTACGGACAACTTAATTTCTACTTTCAGAACTTCTAAAACGGGAAAGAAACGTTGATTTGCTGGCACAGGGGCGAAGAAACCAATTATGATAACTCTTTGAGAAAAGGCGTCCGAGTTTCCAAACGATTTGTATTCCCCAAAAGTTATTTCTCCCAGAGCGAACTGATCACTTGACAAGTTCAGCCCAGTAAAGATATCAGTAACAAATTGGAGTACTGGCGGTTGTGGTGATGATGGGGTGGTATTTCGAGAATCGAATAGATTGAAATCATCTCCCTGGTTCCGCTGATTCGAGTCTCAAGCACTACCTTCAGGTTAGGCAGTATTACGGTCATCAGTCTAGAAATCCTAGAAGGTGCATCAGTTCGAGTTACAAGCCTCGGGTTATCGATCTCTCAACCGGTGACTATGTGGTTCAGTTCTTTTATTTTCCGAAATGCTAGGCAGGGCAGCACCAAGTGAAGAAATAGATTGTTCCCACAATTTGAATCATACATTTTAATTTCAGCAATAAAGGAAAACTCAGTCTGTTATTTTACTTTTTGGAATAAATTAGTCAGTCACGAAAAATGTTATCGAAATTTGAAATTAGAGTGTAATAAAACTGTAAACTGCCTGCCCTAATACCGATTCAGTCCATCTATCCAGTCTGCACAAAACAAATTACCTGTGGTTGTCAGGTAATGTTCCACTCGTTGCACTTATTCGTAATCTCCTATTCTGACAACTACATCTTTTCCCTATACTCTGTACCCCAACCCCCCCCACCTCGTTATTGTTATTGTTAATATTGTTATGGCGTTGGCACCAAGCTTGTTCTCAAACCGGGGTTAAAGATATATATATAAAACAAACACAAAAGGAAAAACGAATATTCAACGTATCTATGATTAACTCAATAGTCATTCATCGGATAAGCATGCCGTATAAACCCCTGGAGTTGTGAGTTACAAGTGCCATTGCAGTTTTCATGTATTTAGGTGGGATCGCCGTAATTTATCGCTGGATCCTGGTACTGAAAACCATGTTTACTTGTTGGTCCAGGTCTTATAAATGCAAGTATTCGGGTTAAATCCACTCTTACGCTGTCTTCAACGGTTGATTTTCCTTTTCATAAACAAATCTTACTCAAACTTTTTCAGTGAATGCTGTGAACTTCGGTCCATGACTACTCACCACGATGATAAACAAAAGCATTTCTATGGAACACGTGATTGTCAGTCGTGACAGCGAACTAGCACAAGCGCCAACCAACTCAGTCACAAATCTATAAACTTTAAACGAGAGGCAATCATCACAAGGCGACAACTGGAACGAAAAGCGATGATTGGGTATTGTCTGTTGAACATGTTTGGAAACTGTAAAATTAAGGCCAAACAATTTCGAAATATTATTTTTTTTTCACTCAAACATTCCCATTCGAGGTCAGTCTTACCGGGCTTAGCACACAACACTAGCTCTCTGGCTTTGGTTGTTTATTTCCTTTTAAAGGTGGTTTCTTTTACACCTATTAGAAGACAGTCATTTTGTGAAATCTCACCACGTTTAACGTACACCAGTATAACTCACTGCTGAATTAAACTGGTGATATGAAATATTNCAGAAACAATATGTTTTCTACAATCCAGCATCTTTTAATTTGGGCCGTGGTGAACGTTTGTTGACTGAATTTACCGTTATCCCTCTCTTGTACACATCACTCTACGCGGTCAAGCTCCCACAGTCTCGTGAATTTCCCTCTCAGTCAATCCACCTGTCTCGTACATATTATGCGATCATATTTATGCCCCAAACGTTCAACTTGTGCGTGTCGAATTTCAGAGAGATTTTGCAATCGGAACGTTCATATTAACCTTTAATACTCTGCCTGGCCTAATACCGATTCAGTTCATCTATCCAGTCTGTACAAGATAAATTACCTGCGTTTGTCAGGTAATGTTCCATCCGTTGCACAGAAAAACTGGATGACAGACAGAAGCTAATTAAGAAACATGCCGATTACCGGACGCGCACGCACGCACGCACAAACACACACGTATGCACGCACGCATATCATCGCGTCATCTTCAGTACACACATAACCACAGGAAAAGCTCTTTGTTGACGGGCATTTTCGCACGCGATGGTATAAACATAAGCACAAACGAACGACAACCCCACTCCACAGAAACACACCAGGGAAACTCGCGGAGTGGGGAAATAATATCCAATCGAAAGATAACCATAAGTATACAAAACATGGGCATTTCACTTTTTGTTTCTGATACCAGTCAGGTGTAAAAGATCCATGTTTGTTTGAACAATTATTTATTAATAAATTAATCGTAATTATTGTTTCGATGTGTTTTTATAAATGAATTAACTTTTAAACGTAACTGTTGCGTACTAGTAGGGATATATTCGATCAATCATTCTATATCCATATGGGACTCTGCGATACGGACATGAGACAACTAATGTCGGGTAAACTTTCAGCACCCGATCAGAGTGGTCCAATGACTCATAGAGGGAAAGCAAGACTTACCGAACAGCTGGAAACACATTCCGATGGTGGTCGATCACATGCAGTGAAACACTTGTATTCCGCGATTCCACGATTCAGAATGAGAGCCCGAATAAGGGGGGGAATGGTTGAAAATGTAGGAATACATGTAAATCAAAACAAGAAGATCGCCAAATGATGAATTGTGGATTGTTCCAAAAAATCTTCATCTTTAGCAATCCGGAACATACTCATAAAACTGCCGGCGATGCCCACACGAATGTCGTCAATGTGCAAATCAATTGATGTAACATCTGTCCTAGGTAGCCGGTTGGAATGATACAAAATAACACGTGATTCCGATGACTGCCACAATCATTACTGGGATTACGTGCCTTCTGTGACGTGAAGCCGACGTGAAACCAGAAACTATGTTGGCTAATCAGTCTATCAAAATCATGCTTAGTTAGGTAGTACCGGTACACAATGATTCAATCGTTGCATATGCTGTAATCAACACGTACCGATTCCACTGTGCTGGAACCTAGGGTGGTGCAAGTAAACAAGCGTAAGCTGATGAAACTTTACATACAAAACCGCACACACACACACACACAGAATAAGAGATGCAAACACACTCAGGCACACGCTGATACCCAACCCCACATCATAACATTGTTTTCAGTCAAGAGGAAAGACCGTAATACTCGGGGGGATTTAAAAAACCCGTCCGTCTCTGATGTGTAATCGGAACCACCTGCGTTGTTTGCTTTCAACGTCATAACGCTTCGTCGATGAGGAGACAACAGTTTGTTTACTCTGCCAGCTAGTCGTTCGTCGTAGTGTTAAACGCCGCGTCCTCATTGCACACATCCACAGTCACACACAACCTCACCACTTTTGTCAAGCCCTGTTGTAGTTTCCATCGACTGGAGCTTACACAAACGGTAAGCAATGCGAGCAGGTTCTATGTTGGTACGAAATTTGAGAATTGAGCTGATGCCTTGGTGATGACGACCAACCAACTGAGGCAAAAATCGATTTTCATATCTACAAGTGGCTAGACAAAAAGCAGTTTGACCATTTTATCTAGAAACAGTGGAATCCTTCAGGCTGTTTGGTCCTCACTTGAGTCGGAAATGGTGATAGTAATAATGATAATAATAATGATATTCCAGAGTGTCATTCTGAAACTCCTGAGTTCATAGGGGGAAAAATAACATCATCTCATTGCATGATAAGTGTCGCCTTTAAGAACTATATTCGAAGCTTTCTCATGACAAGGACGCATTCGTTAAAGTGGAAAGGCAATAAGGCGGTATCCTAGATTTAAACGGTGATGTTAAAGATACTTGAGCCCCATAAATAGATGCGTAAGTTAACTCCAGCCTATCCCTATGGCTTGAGCGAAACATTATGAACTCCCTGATTCCCAAGTGACTTGACTCCATATAATGATCAACGCCTCATAGATGAGACGTTTTCATTAAAACCTTGATTTGAGAACCGTTACAACTTCCCGTTCTTCAGATGACAGCAACTTAATGTGTATGTATCAAGTGAACGTTGCATTTGTCTACGACGCAGGACGCTTAAGAGCTTGCAATACAAGATGACATCACGGAGGTTTGTGAGCGAGTCGCATTTCAGATGAGAAAGAAATTCACTCACCTCGGAACTGCACTGTTCGGAATCATTCAAGAAACATCTGTGCAACAAGCTCCACTGTAACGAATTTTGAATCCACGATGGCTACAAAGAAGGGACCGGTGAAGAGTGAGGTGTGCAAAATCAATCGAACTGGTTTATATCCCTCAAATGGTTTGCAAAGCATTAGAGTTAGCCATTTTCCCGAAACTGATTACAACCAAATAGTATCGACACGATTTCGTCCATCAAGCGTTCCATGAAATAGTTTATTCTGCAAATGTACGCAAGGCTTGAGGAGCCTCTTTGTACAAACTTCTGATGTGAACAAAAATCAATTATTTTTTGAATGCCATTTAATCCACAAACGAGCTAACCAGTTTCATATAGGATTGCTAACTATAAGAATTCTTGTTGTTTCTCTACGGTGGTTGCCGGTAAAGGAAATCATATTTATTCGTTCTCAAAATCAGCTGAAAATGACGGTTGTATAAGCAACGGATTTATCCAATTAGAAATAGATTGAACTTGAACTTATTTATATACCTGAAAAAACTTCAAACCATCTGTCAGATCTTTTAAAAACTTGATTCGGATATTGTAAATCATTTACAGCCCAACCCTGTTGATCAGACATTTTAAGAGGAATAGCCTAGTGATAGACCTCATGTGAGTCCACCAATAAAATAAGTAATGGAGTGCTCTTGTTACACATCTGACGTGGAACAAAGCTGTATCGCGGTAACTAGGTGGTCATCTAATTCTAGATGGCCAACAGATGAGCTGCTCTACAAATAGGGCTGTCTGTATTCAAACAAACGGACACATTCAAGCGGCTGTTTGGAAATACTGTCAGGTCAAATAGCAGCCTGTTCATCTAAACGGTGATGAGTTACGGCTATCGTTGGCAAGCCAAAAATTTGCAAAATGAGCCCAGTACAAAACCCTATTCACCTTGGGAACAGAAGAGACATGCACCCACGCCTGCCATCAATCCGTCCCCAATCACCAGTATGTTCGCACCTTTGGATAACACACAATCTCTGTATAAACTTAGCACCTCGAAATGTGCATGCATGTGTACATGCTGAAGCAGACCTGTGTCCACATGAAGCACTATAGTTTTACCTTTTTCAAGTTTGTATCTGTAGCGCAGTGAGGGTGGTGTGCGTGTGCTTTTGGGCAACGCGAAGAAGCTTATGTTGTTGTTGTTCCCGCCGCTGCTACTTCTAACACCATCAGAGTATGCCACATGCCATCACGTCACCAGGCTGTTCATTTCTGGAGAGCCGCGAGCTCAGGAGTCAATTAATCATTTATCTATGTGAGTGTGTGCGCGCGTGAGTCAGGCGAGTGCCAGTCAACTGTTAGGACAGTCAACGCCAGCACGTGTGTGTGTGTTTGAGCGCGCGACTGTGCCAGGGAAATGGAAGAATTTTGGTACTGTCCACCATTTTCAGTCTTCTCGCTCTGACGTATTCACATGCATTCATCTACCCCCACTTCAGATTTCACTTGAGGCCACGGACACACATACACGATGACTATGCATAAACACACGCCAACCCAATCCGAACAATTCAGTGTCGTCGTGGTATCTACCAGACAAGGGATTTGAGGATATGTTGTACCAGACGGCCTCGAACCAAGCAAGCACTTTGACTAATTGGTCTTGCATTTCACGAATCCGTGCTACCCCCGCACAATTCACTAAGGCTTACTGTCATGCCGGTAGGGAGGAGTGGTGTAAAGCATATACATCGGCAAATTGTTTGATTGTCATGACACGTGTTTGCAAACACCAGTGCTCGAGTTCCGGACAAGTCATGCGCATCGAACTGCACGCGGCACAAGGTTGCATGGACCAATTCGGACTGAGTGAAAGGTGGGAAGCACACCTTAATCTCCATTAGTTTCCTCTCCGGTCCCACGTCTAAGGGATTGTCTTACTGTTCCGATCATTTTACCCAGTGTAGTGATTCGTGTTTATGTCTGTTCGCGTCCGCGTGCCATCCAAGTTATGACTGGGTCGTACCCTCTCCCTCGTCTACGTCTTCATCACTGAAAT